GGGCGGTGGCCGTGCCTGCCCTGAGGCGTGTTTCGGAAAGGCAGAACCAGGCTACGGCCCCTCAGAGCAGCGCCCGCTCTTCTGCTTGCACTGACAGAGAGAGCCTAAAATGCCCAGAAACGTCTCCTGTCCGCGCCTGCAGAGAAGTCCCCTTGAACTAAAACGTGGCTTCGCTGTGTAGATGAGCTAGTCTGTGTGACCATCACCGTAAACTTGGTGATCCGTCCCGGGTTTCAGAGGCTGGTTTTTTTTAGCTTTGGGTGAGGAAGCACTTCCAACAGCTGTCTTCTTGGCAATGCACCAAGCGCCGGCTTAAAGGGTCCCGGGCTGGAGCAGCTTCACCTTCTGCCTCGGAACAAACCCAGCGATTGTTTCATTTTCCGGCTGCTTTTCTACCAAGCAAGGGCTGTGTTGTGGCACTGTGCATGCCTTTTGTACTGCAGCTCTACGATTCCATTCAAAATGCATCCATTCTATCTAAAACCTCTTCTCTTCCACTGCAATTATGTGGGTGGTAGCCTTGCTTGATTGAAAGTTAGAAGTGTTTTTTAAAAAAAAAAATAAAAAATTAAAACTTATTAGATTTTCTGAAATCGCTGTTCTTCAGTCATTTCATATATATTACATACTTTTCCAGCTCTGTATCTGACTACAGATAGTGGGCACACCCTGTTTTTACCATAAGTTATTTCATTGCTACTTCTACAGTATATATTTTGTCAAGAAATAGATCTGGGTTGATACTTGTTCAGAGTATGTTCTCAGAATAACAGCTGTTTTATTTTCCATTTTCTCTTACCAAAAGATGATGAGGAGGAAGAGGATGAAGAAGAAGAGATAGACGTAGTGACAGTGGAGAAAAGACGCTCCTCCTCCAACAAGGCTGTCACCACCCTTACTATTACAGTGCGTCCTAAAAATGCCACTTTTCCAGCAGTCAGGACACAGCAGAACGAACTGATTCTGAAACGTTGCGCACCGATTCACCAGCAGCATAATTATGCCGCTCCTTCTCCATACATGGAGAGTGAAGATGCTCCACCACAGAAAAAGTTAAAAACCGAGGTTCCCCGTCCAGTAAAACCCACGATCCAACCAAAGTCTAAGAGTTCCAGTCCTCGAAACTCCGATTCAGAGGATAGCGAACGTCGACGCAACCATAATATCCTGGAGCGTCAACGGCGTAATGATCTGCGGTCAAGTTTCCTCACGTTAAGGGACCATGTTCCAGAACTGGTTCAAAATGAGAAAGCTGCAAAAGTTGTGATCTTGAAAAAAGCCACTGAATATGTTCATTCCCTTCAGGCAGAGGAGCAGAAGTTACTGCTAGAAAAGGAAAAATTGCAAGCCAGACAACAACAGTTGCTAAAAAAAATAGAATACAAGCGGACTTGCTAAACTTTGGTTTGGTTTGGTTTTTTTTTTTTGGCTGACCAGGACAGTCATTGCCACTTTGCACATTTTTGATTCTTTAAAAAAAAAATTGTGTTTTTTGACGTTAAGAATGTTGGTTTTACTTTCAATCCAGTCCCTGAAGTAATCTACAAACTATATTATCCGGGTACGGAGCAAATGGATGTTCTTGCAAGGAGTTTATTGCAAGACTACCAAACAACAATGGACTGCCTTTGTTTTTCTTTTTAAGAACTGTAGATGGTGGGGATTTTTTTTTTTTAAATTGTTGTGAGCATTTGGAGCTGCTGATGACATCGAGTTGAGTTTTAAAAGTTCATTCCTAAGTTTTATGGTGCTTATGTTCTAACAGATGTTACTTTAGGGGTTGGCGTTTTGTACCCCTGTGGGAATTTTCTGTAAATACCATCTACACACTTGCCTTTTGTACATGTCTTGGGTTATGAGAGGTGGCTTTTGCTACCAGTATTAGACTGGAAGTTCATGCCTAAGTACTGTAATACCTCAATGTTTGAGGAGCATGTTTTTGTATACAAATATATTGTTAATCTCTGTTATGTACTGTACTAATTCTTACATTGCCTGTATACTTTAGTATGATGCTGATACATAACTAAATTTGATACTTATATTTTCGTATGAAAATGAGTTGTGAAAGTTTTGAGTAGATATTACTTTATCACTTTTTTGAACTAAGAAACTTTTGTAAAGAAATTTACTATATATGCCTTTTCCTAGCCTGTTTCTTCCAGTTAATGTATTTGTTAATGTTTGGTGCATAGAACTGGGTTACTGCAAAGTTCTGTGTTTAATTTCTTCCAACGATGTACATTTAGTGCTGCGTCTTATAGCACTTTGAAATACCTCATGTTTATGAAAATAAATAGCAATTACATGATGTGCCATTTACTACTTTTATTTTAAATGAAGTTCTTCTAAATCTTTTAACTTGGCAATGTTCACGAAATACAAAAACCTGGTCTCGTATCCTGGGCACTTAAATTGTCAAACTATAGATGACGCTCTACGAAAAGGCAGCAGCTAAGCAGGACATTCCCATTTCTGGTGAAAAAGTAGTTGCTGTGAGAAGAGTTTTGCTGTTCTTTCATGCTTAAGATGTCTCTTGTGATGTCAGAGACTGACTGTACCACAGTTAATGGAAAGAATCCTGTGTCTTGCGAGGTATTCTGGAATATCCACTGTATGCAGACAATTGTGAGGAATCAGATACAAGGCTGGCATGCTTCTGTTAGGGGACTGGCCTTGGTGTGGTAGAAAGGTGGTGAAGGAAATGATGGCAAAGAAAATGAAAAAGAAAAGCAAAAGAAAATTAAGTACTTGTAGTAAACCATTGCATAGGAGACTTGTTTGTAGCTGAAGATCCTGTTTCTTACTACTTTTGCTAAGTTAGTAAAATTAAAAATCCCAGGGAAGATGCAGAGCTATGAAGTGTGCATCAAAGGAAAAACCAGGCTTGGCAGGCGGCTGTCTCCAGAGATGTGATGATGGCATTGGTGTGACGGCAGCGAGACGTGCACGGCTGTGAACTGCATTTGGTCATTTTGAGACACTCCTTGAGACAGGGAGCTGGTTTACTGTCTAGTGTACAGGTTTTTCAGACATTCTTCTCCCCGACTGAACCTGAAAAATTTGCCGAGACAATAGTAAGGGCAGTATGGGGGCAAAGTCACCGCAGCAATGTACGTGCCGTATGTCCATGCCTTACAGTAGCTCGCTGATGATAACCTGGGAATTCCTGGGCCCCAGCTGGCTTCTGTACCAAAGGCATTGGGAACTGCACTGGCGAGGATTTCCATGCAGTGAATCCACATCCTCAACAGGCATGAGTGGATGTAATGCCATTTAAATCCAGCCAGGCCTACACAAGTTTATGGCATTTGAAAAACCGGCCTAAATAGACTCTTCTAAATTCAGTTATGGACCACAATCATTTCATAAATAGAATCCTTGTTTTCCTTCCCTTGATGTGGACTTGGCCATGCTTCTTCCACTTTCCCAGTATAGTGAAAAAGCAGTAAAAGACAAAGCCTAAGCAGGGACAATTGGTGTGGACAATCACAGGGTAAATTTAATTTTAGTAGCCTCAACAAACTTTTCAAACCCCATTCTAATAGCAATTTTTGTTGAACTGCTGTTGTACTGTTTCAGAACAAGGTACAAGTCAACAAGTCACATAAGCCTTCTTGAAAGAGAATGAAAACTTTACGAATTAATAGCATTGTCTTTCTAACCTGTGCCTGCTTGATTTCCGACAAAGCCTTCTTAACGTGTTTACAGTTAGACTTAGTATAACATTAAAAAAAAGTTACAGCTGTATACGAGTGAAACATCTTCCTAGCAGATGCAAATCATATTCTGAACAAAAAAAAAAATCATCACAGAATGATCTGTCACTGTCTCTTTATATGCTAGGAATGCACTAAGGATTCAGCATGCAAAATTTAACAAATATTCCCTTCCCCATCCCCCTTCCCTCTCCTCTCCTGGAGAACAACTGGTTCAAATCCACCACTGAGAGCAGAGCTAAGTTGTAGGTTATATGACATTGCTTGGGGTAATATTCAGCCAAGGGCTGAATGCCTTCAAGGATGGAGATTCCACATCCTCTCTGGACAACACGCTTAATTGTTTTGACTATCACAACTGACATGTATTTTTCTACTATCTATTTAGAATTCTTGTTGCAGCCCCTGTCATTTGCCTCCTGTCTTCTTGTATTTAACGTCCAGAAGAGTCTGGCTCTACCTTCCCTGGAGCTTCCTGTTAGGTAGTTGAAGATAGCAGTTACTTTTCTTGAGACAATCCAGTTCATTTAGAGTATAATAAATTTGGCTGGATAGTCCACACAAATCCCATTTGAAAGCCCCTTTTCCAGCATTGGAGTCTTGGCCTGGTCCTTATGAATTCCATGATAAACATAGAACTGATGTCAGTGGAGACAGAATCAGGCCCCATATACTGTACTGTTTGCTGCTATACGCTGTTCAACCAGTACTTTGGATTTGTCTTTGGTTTTTCTTTTTCTTAACTAATTTTCAGGAGTTAATATGTTGTTTTCATATTGTTGCTGTATGGAGCAAGTTGTCAAGGACAAATGTTTCTGTAAACAAAACTCTCAGTTGTAGGTTGTTATTAAGCTACAATTTTTAAATAAAAGATAGTGGCTTTCAACTCTTTTGTATTCACACAATAAAAAGAATTGAGAGGTGTAGGAAAGGCAGCTTTTGAAAAGCATAAGTAAACAACTCAGTAATATTTTCTGAAGAATCAGTACCCATAAGGGTACACAGAAAAGGACAGAGACACAGTAACAAAAGATCCTTCTGCATGGGTATCTAGGGCAAAGAGTCCATAAGGACTCTGTCAAATAATGAATTGAGACAGTATACTTTTTTTTTTTTTATATGCACACCTACATTTGCATAACAAATACAAACATATCTGTCTGGAGGGTCTCTTAGAAAATGTGGCAAGTACCTAATAATAACTGCTTATTAAAAAGCAGGTGTTGCCTATTCCTGAAGGGAAAAATGAATTAGATTGATTGCAATCTTAGCTGATCTGCTATAAAAATTCCCAAGTTCTTTTTTTATACAAGATAGAATCTGCTGTTGGAATAATGATTTTGTTCCAAATCACATATCCTGAAGGATGGTCTCCTTCCACTTCTCCGTTTATTTTCTTAAAAATACCACTAAGAACACAAGCGACTTGAATCACCACAATGAAATGATTCCTCCATAAACTAGCATAAGTAGAACACCGGCGGGAGAGCTTAAAAAGGTGAAATGTGTTAATGATGTCATTACCACTTGGTCACCTGTTGCCATGAGTGCTAAGGAAAGTGCATTTCTCAAACCCCAAGTTGCTGTTATAGCAACTTATCACCAGATCTTGGCAGGACCGCTTGAGATTTCATGATGTGTATAATTTGCAGAGGGCACATTTGCTCCTGGTAAGTATACTGATAAACTAAGCTAGAATAAATTTACTTTAAAAGGATCCCATTCTTAAGCTTCAATTTCCTGGCTTGTGGCTGATTTAAATCAGAAGATTTAATTTTATTTAATGTTTTCAGTTTGAGATCATGACTCTAATGACTTTTTAATGTACCATGTTATCAAACTCTTGGCAAATGCTTCATGATTTCTACCTGGGTTCCTTCGTTTTCTTTGTTCTCATTTCAGCTTTCCTTTTTCCCTTTCCCTTCCCCTTCCCCTTCCCCCTCCTCTTCCCCTTTATACCTAAACTACATGTGGTGTCTCTTCTCTGAGGAGCCCAAAGCCATCAAACTTAAAGGGATTTGAGGTGTCACAACAACCTCTTTAAAGTAAGCAGAGATGTTAGTAGAAACAGGTGATACCCAGCACTTCCAGAAATCTTACAGGAAAGTAATGGTGCAAAACATTGAAGATAAGCTGACTGTAGGGCCAGCACAGCATTCCTGGGTAGTGCTGGAGCACTGATAATCAGAGCAGCAGCTTGCCTCAGCAGTTGCCTGAATCCAGAGCCCTTGGTGTGTGCTCAGACAAGCTTTCACTTTTGCTGGACTACCTTTTGCAATCTGCCACCACACGCTCGGTTTTGCTGCCTGCCTGCTGGTGCTGACCTTGCAAGGAGGCTTGGCCACAGTAAAACAGGCATTTTGCTGATTGGTTACATGAGGTGTAACTTCCCCTGCCTGCAGATCTGTGGTTCTCATCCAGCTCTGTGCTCTTACCAGCCAGATCCTTCTTTCAATGAGATTAGTTAGATATGTATTTTATAACAGTCGACTCAGAAAAGATAAAATGAATTTTGATCTCTGAGTTGTAAAGATTCCTTCTGTACATGCTGTATGTATGAACATACAGGCTGCATGTACACAAAAGATTCCACGTCTTGATCCATGAACCCTACTAAATAAATCCACGTGTGTGTTTTAACAGAGTAACTAACAAAACTGTCCACTTGGTTCTTTGAAGAAAAAGCAAACAAAGGCATTTTGGTTCCTGTATTTAATATCACAATACAATGCACTTAAAAATGCAAAAATCAAAAAAATGTTACCATATTAATGGTAAGTCTTTTTAAACTCCATGATGAAATGGATGGTTGTGTAGACTTAGCAGATTTAAAAATCATGAGACTTCTAACTGAATCATGATCTATTGCTGATCTCTGAACTTGAGTTATATTTCATATGTGTAACCACGGTTAGGCTCCATATATACTACTACAGCTGTTGTATTTGTGAACTATATCATTTGCCATGAGAGAGCTCTTCCATCTGACATTGTTTAGGTAAGTGGAGGCATTTTCATTTTGTGGTAAAATAAGATTATTTAATTTTTCTTATTCTATGCTCCTAATTTCCCAGCCTCATTTGTCTAAGTATTAACTGCTTTCTGTCTTCCATACTGCAGGCATTTAGGGAGAGGAACCATCTACTGTATCTGCCTGAGGCTGAGGTTAGACTGTGTTCTGTGAGTTGCTGTATCAGGCACTATAAAATTACGACACGAGTCCTGTTGTCCAAAAGAACAGTGTCTAACAGCCCAACGTTGTGTAGTTTTATATTACAGGTAGGATGAATCAGGTTTTCTACATCTGTTTAGTTACACCTTCTAATCTATAGGCATCATGAGCATTACACAGTTTCAAGAACCTGGCTGCTTAGCTTCCTAATTCTCCATAAAAAGTCACTGGAGAGACACAAGCTCTTCCCAGAGGACAGTTCAGAGCATCTACATTGGTCTCTTACTGGAATGGGCCCAAACACTGCTCTGTACCATGAAAAACAAGTGATTACTATGTGAAACTATAAATTATGTTGAGGGCTTTATTGCTGCTGGGTACCATCAAGTTGCTTGATCCATAGCTGATCTTACTTAGCAGCTGA